ATCCCCATAGGGGTCACAATATCCCCAATGTCCCCAAAGGGACCCCCGCGGGGACCCCAATGTCCCCAAAGGGATCCCCCAATGTCCCCACAGACCCCACAGAGATCCCCATAGGGGTCACAATGTCCCCAATGTCCCCAAAGGGACCCCCGTGGGGGCCCCAATGTCCCCAAAGGGATCCCCCAATGTCCCCACAGACCCCACAGAGATCCCCATAGGGGTCACAATGTCCCCAATGTCCCCAAAGGGACCCCCATGGGGACCCCGATGTCCCCAATGTCCCCAAAGGGATCCCCCAATGTCCCCACAGGGATCCCGTCGCGATCTCAATGTCCCCTACGTGCCCAAAGAGACCCCAATATCCCCAAAGGGACATCGATGTCCCCAATGGGATCCCCATGGGGAATCCAATGTCCCCAAAGGGACCCCCCCAATGTCTCCACAGACCCCAAAGTCCCCACAGGGATCCTCATGAGGACCCCAATGTCCCCAATGTCCCCACAGGGACCCCAATGTCCCCACAGGCCCCACAGGGATCCCATGGGGACCCCCACAGTGCCGGGCCCCCTACGCACCCTCATAGGGACCCCACGGTGGTCCATGGCCACCCATGGTGACCCACCTGGACTCCTCCTGGCCCATGTTCATCCATGTTGGCCCATGTTGACTCGTTGACCCTCTTGATCCATGGTCACCCACGCTGACTCCTCTTGGACAATCTCCATCTGTGTTGGCCCACGTTGACTCCTCCTGGCCCATGATGTTCCGTGTCCATCCATGTTGATCCACGTTGACTCCTGTCAATCCATGGTGACCCACGTTGACTCCTCTTGGCCCATCTCCATCCATGGTGACCCACGTTGACTCGTTGACCCTGATGATCCATGTTGACTCACATTGACTTCTCTTGGCCCATGATGGTCCGTGTCCACCCACGCTGACCATGGACTCCTGTTGATCCACGGTGATCCATGTTGATTCCTCGTGGTCCATGATGATCCATGGTGACCCACCTTGACTCCTCTTGGCTCATCTCCATCCATGGTGACCCACGTTGACCCCTCTTGCCCATCTCCATCCTTCTCCATCCATGGTGACCCACGTTGACTCATTGACCCTGTCGATCCACGGTAACCCACCTTGACTCCTCATGGTCCATGATGGTCCGTGTCCATCCCTGTTGGCCCACGTTGACTCCTCTTGGAGTCCATCTCCATCCATGGTGGTGCACGTTGACTCGTTGACCCCCGTCAATCCGTGGTGATCCACTATTCCTTGTGGTCCATCTTGATCCGTGTTGGCCCACGCTGACTCCTCTTGGCTCATGATGGTCCATGTTGACCCATGTTGACTCGTTGACCCTGTTGATCCATTGTGACCCACATTGACTCCTCTTGGCCCATCCCCATCCATGGTGACCCACGCTGACTCGTTGACCCCTGTTGGTCCATGGCTGTCCACGTTGATTCCTCCTGGTCCATCTCTGTCCATCTCCGTCCATGTTGGCCCACGTTGACTCGTTGACCCTGATGATCCATGCTGACCCCCCTTGACTCCTCTTGGCCCATCTCCACCCATGTGGACCCACGTTGATTCCTGTAGACTCCTGTAGATCCATGGTGATCCACGTTGACTCCTCTTGGCCCATGATGTTCCATGATGATCCATGGTGATCCATGGTGACTCCTCTTGGCCCAACCCCATCCATGGTGACCCACGCTGACTCGTTGACCCCTGTTGGTCCATGGATAGCCACACTGACTCCTGTTGGCCCACGATGGTCCGTGTCCATCCATGTTGGTCCACGTTGACCATGGACTCCTGTCCATCCATGGTGACCCATGTTGATTACAGTTGACTCCTGTTGACTCCTGTTGATCCATGATGATCCATGTTAACTCCTCCTGGCCCATGATAGTCCATGTCAAGCCATGTTGGCCCATGTTGACTCCTCTTGGTCCACAATGGACCATGTCCATCCCTGAGGACCCATGTTGACTCGTTGACTCCTGTCAATCCATGGTGATCCATGTTGAATCCTCCTGGCCCATGATGGCACATGTCCATCCATGTTGACCCACCCCGTCAATCCATGGTGGCCCACGTTGGCTCCTCTTGGCCCATTTTGACCTCTGTTGGTCCACGCTGACCCACATTGACTCCTCTTGCTCCATGATGATCCCTGTCCATCCATGTTGGCCCACATTGACTCGTTGACTCCTGTCGATCCATGGTGAGCCATGTTGACTCCTCTTGGCCCATGATGGTCCGTGTCCATCCCTGTTGGCCCACGTTGACTCCTCTTGGAGTCCATCTCCATCCATGGTGGTGCACGTTGACTCGTTGACCCCCGTCAATCCGTGGTGATCCACTATTCCTTGTGGTCCATCTTGATCCGTGTTGGCCCACGCTGACTCCTCTTGGCTCATGATGGTCCATGTTGACCCATGTTGACTCGTTGACCCTGTTGATCCATTGTGATCCACCTTGACTCCTCTTGGCCCATCCCCATCCATGGTGACCCACGCTGACTCGTTGACCCCTGTTGGTCCATGGATAGCCACACTGACTCCTGTTGGCCCACGATGGTCCGTGTCCATCCATGTTGGTCCACGTTGACCATGGACTCCTGTCCATCCATGGTGACCCATGTTGATTACAGTTGACTCCTGTTGACTCCTGTTGATCCATGATGATCCATGTTAACTCCTCCTGGCCCATGATAGTCCATGTCAAGCCATGTTGGCCCATGTTGACTCCTCTTGGTCCACAATGGACCATGTCCATCCCTGAGGACCCATGTTGACTCGTTGACTCCTGTCAATCCATGGTGATCCATGTTGAATCCTCCTGGCCCATGATGGCACATGTCCATCCATGTTGACCCACCCCGTCAATCCATGGTGGCCCACGTTGGCTCCTCTTGGCCCATTTTGACCTCTGTTGGTCCACGCTGACCCACATTGACTCCTCTTGCTCCATGATGATCCCTGTCCATCCATGTTGGCCCACATTGACTCGTTGACTCCTGTCGATCCATGGTGAGCCATGTTGACTCCTCTTGGCCCATGATGGTCCGTGTCCATCCCTGTTGGCCCACGTTGACTCCTCTTGGAGTCCATCTCCATCCATGGTGGTGCACGTTGACTCGTTGACCCCCGTCAATCCGTGGTGATCCACTATTCCTTGTGGTCCATCTTGATCCGTGTTGGCCCACGCTGACTCCTCTTGGCTCATGATGGTCCGTGTTGACCCATGTTGACTCGTTGACCCTGTTGATCCATTGTGATCCACCTTGACTCCTCTTGGCCCATCCCCATCCATGGTGACCCACGCTGACTCGTTGACCCCTGTTGGTCCATGGCTGTCCACGTTGATTCCTCCTGGCCCATCTCCATCCATGTTGGCCCACGTTGACTCATTCCCTCCTGTCGGCCCATGTTGACCCATGTTGACTTCTCTTGGCCCATGATGGCCCGTGTCCACCCATGTGGACCCACGTTGATTCTGTAGACTCCTCTCGGTCCATGTTGGCCCACCTTGACTCCTCTCAGCCATTTTGATCCATGTTGACCCACGCTGACTCGTTGACCCCCTTGATCCATGGTGATCCATGTTGACTGCTCTTGGACAATCTCCATCCGTGTTGGCCCACGTTGACTCCTCTCGGCCCATGATGTTCCATGATGATCCATGGTGATCCATGGTGAGCCATGTTGACTCCTCCTGGCCCATGATAGTCTGTGTCAATCCATGTTGGCCCATGTTGACTCCTCTTGGTCCACGATGGACCATGTCCATCCATGAGGACCCACGTTGACTTGTTGACTCCTGTCAATCCATGGTGATCCATGGTGAGCCATGTTGACTCCTCCTGGCCCATGATAGTCCATGTCAAGCCATGTTGGCCCATGTTGACTCCTCTTGGCCCATGATGGTCCGTGTCCATCCATGGTGGCCCACGTTGGCTCCTCTTGGCCACTGATCCCTGCCGGCCCACGCTGATGGATCCACAGTGATCCCCATCGACCCATGGTGGCCCACCTTGATCCATGGTGACCCGTGGTGACCCAGCGCTCCCAGTATCCCCAGTTTCCCCTCCCAGCGCTCCCAGTATCCCCAGTTTCCCCTCCCAGTTTCCCCAGTCTTCCCGACACCCCCGCGCCGCCAGGGGGCGCTCTCCCGGGCGCAGCCGCTCCGGCCGCCGCTCTCGCTGCTCCCCCACCGGAAGTGGCCGCTCCGGCCGCCCCCATCCGCTCCTCTATGGTTCGCTCCGCCCCTCGCAGGCCGACGCCCGCCGGGCGCCGCGTGACCGGAAGCGCGGTGACGTCACTGTTTGCGGAAGTGCCGCGGCGGAGCCGGGTGAGGGCCGGGGGCGCTCGGGGACATCTGGGGACATTTGGGGACAGGCGGGGGCACCTCTGGGGGCTCGGGGCGGTGCAGGCGCCGCTCGGGGCGCTCTGAGGGGCTCGGGGCGGGTTCGGGGCGCCGGGGGCCGCGGGGCCGGCCCGGTCAGCGCCGGTGTCACCGCCGTGTCACCGTGTGCCACCTCCGTGTCACCTCCGTGTCACCGTGTGCCACCTCTGTGTCACCGCCCTGTCCCCTCCTCATTCCCGAGTGTCCCCTCCGTGTCCCCCGATGTCCCCCCCGCTGTCCCCCGTTCCCGTCTCCAGGTGCCACCACGCCCCGTGTCCCCCCATGGCCGTGTCCCCCCTCAGTGTCCCCAGTGTCCCATCCCTGTCCCCAGTGTGCCATTGCTGTCCCCAGTGTCCCAGCAGTGTCACCAATGTTCCATCCCTGTCCCCAGTGTGCCATGGCTGTCCCATCCCTGTCCCCAGTGTGTCACTGATGTCCCCAGCGTGCCATGGCTGTCCCCAGTGTCCCCAGGTATCCCTGTCCCCCTGGAGCTGCTCTGGCAGAGCCAGCGTGCCCTGGGCAGTGTCCCATGGCTGTCCCCAATGTTCCCAATGTCCCATCCCTGTCCCCAATGCCCCAAGTGTCCCATCAGTGTCACCAATGTCCCCAACATCCCCAGTGTCCATGGAGCTGCTGAGGCAGAACCAGCGCGCGCTGTCCCTGTGTGTCCCTGTGTGTCCCTGTGTGTCCCTGTGTGTCACTGTCACTGTGTGTCCCTGTGTGTCACTGTGTGTCACTGTCCCTGTGTGTCACTGATGTCACTGATGTCCCCATGTGTCACTGATGTCCCCAATGTCCCCAATGTCCCCAGGTGTCCCTGCTGTCCCATGGAGCTGCTGTTCGGGCGCCGGCGCTCCCCCGAGGAGCTGCTGAGGCAGAACCAGCGCGCTCTGTCCCGCGCCGTGCGCGAGCTGGAGCGCGAGCGGCAGAAGCTCGAGGCCCAGGAGAAGAAAATCATCGTGGACATCAAGAAGATGGCGAAGCAGGGCCAGATGGTCAGAGGGGACACGGGGACACTGGGGGGACATTGGGGACACTGGGGGCACATTGGGGGGACAGCAGGGCCAGATGGTCAGAGGGGACTTTGGGGACATTTGGGGACACTGGGGGCACTGAGGGGACACTGCGGGAGAGCAGGGCCAGATGGTCAGAGAGGACACTTGGGGACAATGGGGACACTGGGGGCACTGGGGGCATTGGGAACACTGGGATACTGGGGGCACTGGGGACACTGGGGACACTGAGGGGACAGCAGGGCCACATGGTCAGAGGGGACTTTGGGGACATTTGGGGACATTGGGGGCACTGACATTGGAGACAGTGGGGACATTGGAGACAGTGGGGACATTGGGGACACTGGGGGCACTGGGACACTGAGGGGACACGGGGACACTGGGGGGACATTGGGGGCACTGGGGACATTGGGGACACTGAGCAGGGCCAGATGGTCAGAGGGGACACGGGGGACAGAGGGGACAGCAGGTGGTGGCAGGTGGTAGAGGGGGGAGGGGATCGGGGACAAGGGACACAGAGGGGACAAGGGGACACAGAGGGGGTCATGGGGTGTCCCCTGTCTCGTCCTGCTGTCCCCTCCCTGTCCCCAGATGTCCCTGCTGTCCCTACGGTGTCCCCTCACTGTCCCTGCATGTCCCTGGCGATGTCCCCCTGTCCCTCTCTGTCCCCATGACTGTCCCCAGGATGCTGTCCCTGTCCCCTGCGTTCCCACTGTCCCCTGTCCCTGTCCCCAGTGTTCCTCTCTCCTGCTGTCCCCTCTGTCCCTGACTCTGTCCCCTCTGTCCCCATGTCCCTGACCCTGTCCCCTGTGTCCTTGTCCCTGTCTCTAACCTTGTCCTCTGTGTCCCCTGTGTCCCTGACCGTGTCCCCTGTCCCCTGTCCCTTGTGTCCCTGACCATGTCCCCTGCTGTCCCCCGTGGCAGGACGCTGTCCCCATGTCCCCGTGTCCCTGACGGTGTCCCTGACCATGTCCTGTGTCCCCTGTCCCCGTGTCCCTGACCACGTCCCCTGTCCCCATGTCCCCGTGTCTCTGACGGTGTCCTTGCTGTCCCTGTGGCAGGACGCTGTCCCTGTCCCTGACAGTGTCCCTGTCCCTGTGTCCCCGTGTCCCTGACGCTGTCCCTGCTGTCCCCATGCAGGACGCTGTCCCTGTCCCTGTCCCTGTGCAGGACGCGGTGCGGGTGCTGGCCCTGTCTCCGTGTCCCTGACAGTGTCCCCATATCCCTGACAGTGTCCCCATGTCCCCATGTCCCCGTGTCCCCATCCCCGTGTCCCTGACGGTGTCCCTGTCCCCATGTCCCCTGACACTGTCCTTGTCCCCGTGTCTCTTACAGTGTCCCTGTCCCCGTGCAGGACGCTGTCCCTGTGTCCCTGTCCCCGTGTCCCTGTCCCCGTCCCTGTCCCCGTGCCGGACGCGGTGCGGGTGCTGTCCCTGTCCCCGTGTCCCTGACAGTGTCCCCATGTCCCCGTGTCCCCGTGCAGGACGCGGTGCGGGTGCTGGCCCTGTCCCCGTGTCCCTCTCACCGTCCCCATGTCCCCGTGCACGTGTCCCCGTGCAGGACGCGGTGCGGGTGCTGGCCCTGTCCCCATGTCCCCATGTCCCTGACAGTGTCCCCGTGTCCCTGACAGTGTCCCCACGTCCCCGTGTCCCCGTGCAGGACGCGGTGCGGGTGCTGGCCCTGTCCCCATGTCCCCGTGTCCCTGACAGTGTCCCCGTGTCTCCGTGCAGGACGCGGTGCGGGTGCTGGCCCCGTGTCCCTGACGGTGTCCCCACGTCCCCGTGTCCCCGTGCAGGACGCGGTGCGGGTGCTGGCCAAGGACCTGGTGCGCACGCGGCGCTACGAGCGCAAGTTCATCGCCATGAGAGCCAACGTGCAGGGGGTGGCACTGCGGGTGCAGACGCTGCGCTCGCACAGCGCCATGGCCAGCGCCATGCGGGGCGTCACCAGGGCCATGGCCACCATGAACCGCCAGGTGAGTGTCACTGTGTGTCACCTGTGTCACTGTGTGTCCTGTGTGTCACTGTCCCTGTGTGTCACTGTGTGTCACTGTGTGTCACCGTGTGTCATTGTGTGTCACTGTGTCACTGTGTGTCACTGTGTGTCACTGTGTGTCACTGTGTCACTGTCACCATGTAACCCCGGTCACGGTGACACCACGGGCACAGATGGTGCCTCTGGGGTCCTCTGGCTCCTCCAGGAGCAGTCGGAGCTGGCTGTGTCCCCAATGTCCCCTGTGTCCCCAATGTCCCCAGTGTCCCCAGTGTCCCCAATGTCCCCGATGTCCCCAATGTCCCCATGTCCCCAATGTCCCCAGTGTCCCCAGTGTCCCCAATGTCCCCGATGTCCCCATTGTCCCCAATGTCCCCAATGTCCCCACTGTCCCCAATGTCCCCACTGTCCCCAATGTCCCCTGTGTCCCCTGTGTCCCCTGTGTCCCCATTGTCCCCACTGTCCCCAGTGTCCCCAGTGTCCCTGCTGTCCCCAGTGTCCCCTGTGTCCCTGTCCCCAGCTGAAGCTGCCGCAGATCCAGCGCATCCTGCAGGAGTTCCAGGAGCAGTCGGAGCTGGCTGTGCCCCGTGTATCCCCAGTGTCCCTGATGTCCCCAGTGTCCCCACTGTCCCCAGTGTCCCCAATGTCCCCAATGTCCCCACTGTCCCTGATGTCCCCAATGTCCCTGTCCCCAGCTGAAGCTGCCGCAGATCCAGCGCATCCTGCAGGAGTTCCAGAAGCAGTCGGAGCTGATGGACATGAAGGAGGAGCTGATGAACGACGCCATCGACGACGCCCTCGGGGACGAGGATGACGAGGACGAGAGGTGGGGACACGGGGGGACAGCTGGGGACAGCTGGGGACACAGCAGGGACACCTGGGGACAGCTGGGGACACGGCAGGGACACCTGGGGACACAGGGGGGACACCTGGGGACACTGGGGGGACACCTGGGGACACGGCAGGGACAGCTGGGGACATGTGGGGACACAGGGGAGACACCTGGGGACATGGCAGGGACAGCTGGGGACACTGGGGGGACACCTGGAGACACAGCAGGGACAGCTGGGGACACGGCAGGGACAGCTGGGGACACAGCAGGGACACTTGGGGACATGTGGGGACACAGCAGGGATACCTGGGGACATCTGGATGACACTTGGGGACACAGGGGGGACACCAGGGGACACCTGCGGGGCAGCTGGGGACACCTGGGGACACTTGGGGACACCAGAGGGACATGTGTTGACACGTGGGGACACACAAGGGACACCTGGGGACACCTCGGGGGGACACCTGGGGACACCCAGGGGACACCAGGGGACAATGGGGGGACACACGAGGGACAGCCAGGGGTGCTCAGGGGACATGAAGGTGACACCTGAGGACACTTGGGGACAGCCAGGGATCACCCAGGGGGACACCTGGGGACATGGGGCGTGGGGACAGGGAGGGGACACGGGGACGGAGCAGGTCCCAGTGCGTCCCAGTGTCCCCCAGTCTGTCCCAGTGTCCTCTCCCAGTTTATCCCAGTCCATCCCAGTCCCTCCCAGTATATCCCAGTCCATCCCAGTCCCTCCCAGTATATCCCAGTCCATCCCAGTCCCTCCCAGTATATCCCAGTCCATCCCAGTATATCCCAGTATATCCCAGTCCATCCCAGTCTCTCTCCCCAGTGACGCTGTCGTGTCCCAGGTCCTGGACGAGCTGGGGCTGAACCTGACCGAGGAGCTGGCCAGTGAGCGGGACGGGATTGGGATTGGGATTGGGGTTTGGGATTGGGGGTTTGGGATTGGGGGGTTGGGGATTGGGGGGTTTGGGGGTAATCTGGGTGGGCATTTGGGATAATGGGATTTTTTGTTAATCTGGGTGGGATTTTTGGGGTTAATGGGATTTGGGTTAATCTGGGTGGGATTTGGGGTCAGTCTGGATGGGATTATTTGGGATTTGGGTTAATCTGGGCAGGATTTGGGATAATCTGGGTGGGATTTGGGGTTAATCTGGGTGGGATTTTGGGGATTTGGGATAATCTGGGTGGGATTTTGGGGATTTGGGATAATCTGGGTGGGATTTTTTTGGGATTTGCGTTAGTCTGGGCAGGATTTGGGGCTCACCGGGGTGTGACCCCCGTGCTCTCTGCTGTCCCCTGAGTGCCCCCTGTCCCCTGTCCCCAGCGCTGCCCGCCCCGGGGGGGTCCCTGGCGGCGGGGGAGGGGCGCGGGGGCGCTGAGGCGGCCGCGGCCGCGCTGGCCGACGCCGACGCCGACCTGGAGGAGAGGCTGAAGAACCTGCGCAGGGACTGAGCCCGGGGCCTGGCGCCTTCCGGAACCTTCTGGGACTGTCTGGGACTTCTGGGATTTTTGGGATTTTTTTGGGATTTTTTGGGATTTTTTTCGGATTTTTTTCGGATTTTTTGGGGATTTTTTTCGGATTTTTTTCGGATTTTTTTCGGATTTTTGGCCATCCCGGAGAGGGGAATTTGCCCCTCTATTCCAAATTTTGGGATGGTTTTCCAGTCTCTGCCTCACTCCTGGGAGCCTCCAAAGTCTGATCCTCTTTATTTGGGATTTTCCCCCTTTTTGAGATTTTTTTGGAATTTTTGGGGATTTTTTTCTGATTTTTTTTGCTTTTTTTTCGGATTTTTTTTTAATTTTTGGCCATCCCAGAGAGGGGATTTTGCCCCTGTATTCTGATTTTTGGGGGGGATTTTCTGGTCTCTGCCCCACTCCTGGGATCCCCCTGAAGTCTGACCCCTTTATTTGGGATTCTTCCAATTTTTGGGATTTTTTTGGGATTTTTTTGGGATTTTTTTTTGGATTTTGGCCATCGTGGAGAGGAGATTTTGCCCCTGTATTCTGATTTTTGGGATGATTTTCTACTCTCTACCCCACTCCTGGGAGCTTTCAAAGTCTGCCCCCCTTTATTTGGGATTCTTCCAATTTTTGGAATTTTTTGGGATTTTTTTGGGATTTTTTTCTGATTTTTTGGGGATTTTTTTCAGATTTTTTTGAGATTTCGGCCATCCCGGAGAGGGGATTTTGCCCCTGTATTCTGATTTTTGGGGGGGATTTTCTGGTCTCTGCCCCACTCCTGGGATCCCCCTGAAGTCTGAGCCCCTTTATTTGGGATTTTCCCCCTTTTTGAGATTTTTTTGGGATTTTTTCAGGTTTTTTTTTGATTTTTTTTGGATTTTTGGCCATACTGGAGAGGGGATTTTGCCCCTGTATTCTGATTTTTGGGGGGGATTTTCTGGTCTCTGCCCCACTCTTGATATCCCCCTGAAGTCTGACCCCCTTTATTTGGGATTCTCCCCCTTTTTGGGATTTTTGGGATTTTTTGGGGATTATTTTGGATTTTTTTTTTTTTTCAGATTTTTGGCCATCCCGGAGAGGGGATTTTCCCCCTTTATTCCGATTTTTTGGGTGATTTTTCGACTGATTTTGGGATTCTGACCACACCCCAATGGGATTTCCCCTCCTTTATTTGGGATTTCCCCTTTTTTTTGGGATTTTCCCCTTTTTTTGGGATTTCCCCCTTTTTTTGGGATTTCTCCCTTTTTTGGGGCTTCCCCTCTTTATTTAGGATTTCCCTTCTCTATTTAAGAATTTTTTTGGGATTTTTTGCCATCCTGGGCAGGCTTTCCCATTTTTTTGGGATTTCCCCTTTATTTGGGATTTTCCCCATTTTTTGGAATTTCCCATTTTTGGCTCTTTTTGACCCCCCGGGGTCTCCCCCTTTTTGGGGTCTTTCCCCCTTTTTTGGGACGCTGACACTACTTTGGGGTGAATTCCCCCTTTTTCGGGGTCTCCCCCCCTTTTTTGGGTCTCTCTCCCATTTTTGGGGTTTTTCTCCCCAATTTTGGGGTCCCCTCCCCCAATAAAGTTTCCTGGCACTGCGGCGGCTCCGGCTCCTTCCCAGTTTGGGACTGGGAGCACTGGGAGGGGGGGAGGGGCACTGGGGGGGGTTCTCCTTCCCAGTCCATCCCAGCCCATCCCAGTTCCTCCCAGTCCATCCTAATCCCTCTCAGTCCATCCGAGTCCATTCGAATCCATCCCAATCCCCTCCCAGTCCCTCCCAGTCCATCCCAGTCCCTCCCAGTTCATCCCAGTCCATCCCAATCACATTCCAGTCCATCCCAATCCCCTCCCAGTCCCTCCCAGTCTATCCCAGTCCCCTCCCAGTCCATCCCAGTCCCTCCCAGTCCATCCTAGTCCCTCCCAATCCCCTCCCAGTCCATCCCAGTCCCTCCCAGTCC